AAAATGATTAATTTAATTGAAGGCTGCAGCAGCAGGATCATCCCGGGCTGGGTGCCTCCAAAGAGAGGCACCCAGAACAAAGAAATCCCAGGGCAATTATACCCCTGGGTCCCACACACCCGCCCTTCACGCGCTGTCCGTGCATCCTTTAGTCCAATGGTGATTTTAAGTCTGGAGTCTCCTAACACCTAATTGGATTCTTCTTCTGTGTCCAGGCAGGCAGGCTCTTATCTTGTTGACTTGCAGTTTCTGCAGTTTTCCCCAAAGGTTGGAGCCTCCTTATCTTCTGGTTTAGACTCCCTGTGCACTGCCCTTGCTGGTGGGACATGGAGGACTGAAGAGTCCCAGACTGGGAAAAACACTGCCAAGACATTAGTGTGATACCAAAATACTTTCCTATACTAGAAGACTAAACACAGCACTGGACTAGCTGTTAGGAAAACTACTAGGAAAATTACTGAGAAAAATACCTCTATTGTGGCATTAGGCTTCAGCAAATGTAGCCACTCTCGCTAAGTAATGCTAAGCAAAAAGCACAAATCACACTCTATTATATTCCGAAGTAATTTATTCTAATTAAAACCTACTTATTTATGTTAAACAACTAATATCCCTCAACAAACTAATTAAGCAAAACTAAAAATAAATTTTTTTAACCATGCATAACCAGATAAAAAGCTAACAAACTGTAGCATTGTGTAGGAATACCTATATAATGCTTAACTTCATACAGAGCTGGTGTGAACCATGCAAGAAACTCCCTACAGAGACCAGCCGCCTTCCCCAGTCCTCCCAGTGACATGTTCACACTGTTTAGACCAACACCAGAACGACCAGTGATGTGCCTGTGTCACGTTTTAGCTCAGTAAAGATGCAGTACTTTGGGAAGAACTTGGCACAAGGTTTCTCCCTGACATGACTATGTCACCCAGCCAGCACATTTTACCGACAGTGAGGAGCTTGCTTCTGCCTTACCTGTAGTCGTGGAGAAGTTTGCAGAAGATGACAGCTTGGGCACACTTGTTCACTGCCAGCCCCTCATGGTGCCTTGTCAGATACATCAAGGCCTCCTCACATCAGCCTGAGGGGACTGGAAAGGTTCTGTAATGTCCCACATCTTGGCCCAGAGGGACAAGTGAGGATTTAGAAGAAGGACACGGCCTCCACCCACGCAGCATGGCAGTCCATCCCAGCAGCCGTCAGGGTTGCACCTGCAACGTGAGACCCCAGCCCTTCTCAGGGCTTCTCCTTGCTGACACGGGACCTAGAAAAGTGGCTGGTCCTCACATGCAACACAGCCACTGAGAACAAAGCGCATCAGTGGATGTCTGAAACCCTGCTTTCTCTGATGCCAGTTTTCTCTATTACACAAGTCCCAGCTAGACTTTAAAGCCCAGCCAGTTGCAAGCTGCTGGCACAGTGCTTGGGACAGGCTTCATTGGAGCTGCTCCTGGGCTAGAAGCAATGAGAAAATCAAACGTTCACCAAATGGTTCAGCTTTCCAGTTCAAAGCTATTTTTTCATTCATTCTCAGCTTTCCTAAGCCAATACTGTGCCTCCTGTCCTCCCCAACTGAGCAGCCTCTCAGCTCCTTCTCCCTGCATGTATTTGGTATGAAGTCCCCATGTCATGGCACGGCCAGCTCAGCAGTGTCCAGGCATGGGAACCCTTGCCCAGGATCTGCCTCATTGCTTGAAGAGAGCCACAGGGATGTTTTCAGGGGTACGAGGCAATCGTCACAATGACAGAGTGACTACAACCAGCCCAGAAAGCTCTGAAAACCAGAGCAGTCGATTCCCTGCTTTGCTAAGTAGAAGGTGCTTCAGCCAGCAAAGGTGCTGGGCATTTAAAGGTGGCTGGAGCAACACCTCCCAGCCCTGCCTGCTTCAGCAGAGGACAACTTGGTGCACCATTTAGCCTGACATGAGGCAAATGTACAGTGCTCTTGGCCAGAGCAGGACACTGCTGAACTATTTGAATTCTTTGTGTCCCCTGATGGAACCTGGAGCACCCTTCAGTGTATCACAAGCCTGCACTGGAGATAGAGAGACATTAAACCAGGCCTGTTCCCTAAGGCTCACTGCAGCTCACCCAACTCAGGCACAGCTCCCACAGCCTGAGAGACTCCAACTGGGCTGAAACACCCGCAGCCAAAGTTCATCAGGGACAAAAATGACCCTATGCCCCATCACAAGCTATTGGGGTCCTGTCCTGCACTGATTGTCATGCTCAGCCCACCAGTGCCCGCAGCGCTGCAGTTGGTGTGAGAAACAAGGGTGGCCTGAACAAGGCCGCCGAGTTTCCACCTGCTCAGGTCTGTCCTGGTTCATGTCCCCCGATGCTGTGGCAGGCACTGGCAGTGAGCCCATACCCCCGGGGGCACCCAGCCAGCCCAGCCTGGGCACTGCCACTGCGAGCACCTGGCTACTGGAGAATCTCACACGTTTGCCCAGGGGAGCTGGGAGCACCGTCTTTTCCAGAGCCACCGCAGCACTCCCTGGAGCAGAGTGCTCCCCTGCGCTCAGAAATCAGTGATGCAGGAGGACCATCTTCACTGCAGCAGTCTCTGTTTTTTTCTGCAGGGTACAGCTGTGTCACCCCAAGAGCCAGCAGCTAGGTTAGCATGAAAAACCTAAGAGGGCAGGGGGTTGAACATGTCTCTGTGGCAGCTCCTGCCCACGTATGTTCACGGGGAAAGGGTGCTCTCAGCCAGAAGGGGGTTGGCCTCTCCCGTTGTGGGAGATGGGCTGAATTTCCAAAGGAAGTAATAAAAACCATTTTGCTACTGTCATGCAAATTCTATCCATGATCTACTTCATTAGCTGGATTGTGCCGCCTAAAAGCAGATACATGCCAAAAGCACACAGGGCCTGGGACAGGTGGAAACCTGTATCCCACCGAGGCTATCCCAGATCATCTGCATCAGCTGGGCAATGCGTGCCAAGTTGCTGAAAAAAAAACCACTTTGTGCCTTACATATCTGTATCATTGGTGATACCAGAAGGGGGGCATCCAGGACCCATGTTTGGAGAATACAGGCGTGCAGATTTATTTTACAGCTTCATCAGATTTCTCCAATGACATGTTCAACTTCTCCCATTGCTCCCTGACATAAATCCCAACCAGTGACACCATTCCAGCTTCTACAACCATGCAGTGTCCTGGCCTGAGGCATGTGACAATTCTATGTGAGAGAGCCTGGCAGCAAACCTTACCCTAGCCACCAGCACCCTGGGTTGCCTTAGGATGAATGCTGACAGCAGGTCAAGGAAGGTGATCCTTCCTCTCTAAATCCACAGTGCCGCATCCAGTTCTGGGCTCCTCAGTACAAGAGAGACATGGACATACAGAAGAGCCCAGCAAAGAGCCACTAAGATGACTAAGGAACTGGTGCATCTCTCCTATGAGGAGAGGCTGAGAACTAGGACTGTTCAACCTGGAAGAGAGAAGGCTCAGAGGGATCTTACCTCCAAAGGGAGGGAATGAAAAAAAGGGACCCAGACTCTTTTCAGTGGTGCCCAGTGATGACAAGAGGCAGTGGGCACAAACTGAAATGGGAGAGGCCATCTGAAGACAAGAAAACACCTTTTTTTCTGTGAGGGTGGTCAAATTCAGGAACAGGCTGCCCAGAGAAGCTGGGGAGTTTCCAGCTGTGGAGATACTGAAAACTCAAACAGACGTTCCCAGGCTGCCTGCTCCGGGTGACCCTGCTTGAGCATGATGATCAAGAGGTCCCTTCCAACCCACACGATCCTGTGATTCTATGAGAAAAAAAAACCCCAAACAATAGTAAAAAAATTGAGAGTGGAGAGTACAGCAGGGATGCTGGAACCCAAACCTGCCCTCAGACTGGTACACTGCTACATAAAACTTTCACCTCTGTATGACCACTCCTGTGGCAGCAAATTCTCCTCTAACATTCAAATTTATTCATCTCTGCTGGTAACGTCAAAGGTGTGAAATAAGGTACTGCTGTAAGCAAAGCCACTCCATGGTGACACGCACTGTGCTTTTTGGAACATGAGAATACACCCCACATGCTCACTTTGTGGGAGGTGTGATAAATTGCTCAGGATTAGCACACAGAGTGACAAAGTGCTCAGTGTGGGAAGGAAATAAACAGCCCAAGGAGAAAGAGACAGCTTTATTTAAGGAATTGAAGTGAGGTCTGGAAGGATGAAGCTAGCAGTTGCCTGAGGAGTTGTGTTTCTGAGAAAGTGCAATTCAATCCTTCCTGGTGTAATGTTCTCAGGGAAAAGAGCTACTGGGGCCAGCAGGTTTGTGCTGACTGAGAGGGGTCCCTCTTTGCTCTCCATCCAACCCAGCAGGGCCCTGACCAGCTCCACACTAGGTGCCCGTTCTTCCCTGATAAAGGGATCTTCCAAGAGCTGCAGAGTGCCAGCACAAGGACACTGGCAGAGGCTGCTGCTCTGGCTCTCTGCAGGAGTTCATACAACACCTATTTTCCTAGGGCGAGCCAGAAGAAACCAACAAAAAATATGAGCTTTTAAGGTGCAGCTGGTCCTTTCCCTCATCACACTCTCTGATGCAGGGAGAACACAGTCCAGTAGGCTTTACTCCAGCCACAGCCATGACTGGTGACACCCAAGCTAGCTTGAGCATTACAGGGACTGGCCAGCACTGTCTGGTGGACAGATCCACAAGTGTGACTGACCTGTTCCTCTTGCTAGATAAAACCCAGACACCACCCAGAGCAAACGTAACCTTGCTGTGCCCAGCAACTTCCCTCCGTAAACAAAAGCCACGCCTGGCTTACAGCCAAGTCAAAGAGAATCAGATTCCAAAAAGAATCAAGCCTGGTGGATCAGTACCATGGTTTCACTGGCTACATCGGAGCAGCTGCCTTCAACCAGCCTGAATGCCACTGTCCCACAAGCCGTGGGCACCCACTGTCACTGACGAACGTTGATCATGCAATGAGTAGTAACAGACTTGCTCTGTTGGCACTGGACTGGGTTTTGCAGTTTCCTCTTTCATTGGCAAGGCAACGGCCAAGCAGGCTGCTTCACAGGTGCTCAGTTCTTCCATCGGATTTGCTAAAAGACAGAACGAGACATGACTAACATCAGTGCTGAACACAGATCCCTCTGGGGCCAAGTCACTGAGTTCCGATCCCTGACAAAGACACAGCCAGAGGGTGCTATTTCTATCAGTTTTACCCTTCCTTCCTACACTGAATGCAACCCCAAACATAAGATTAGCTTTCCAGCAGGGATAAAAAGTATCTAGGACAGCCAATGCCCTTACACCTAATCTGCAGCCTTTTCTGATGAGAGTCTCTGGAAGAAAAAGAATGTATTTCTCACCATGTTGCTGAGAATGCTGTTTATCTTCTCTTCTTCTGCAGACCCTCGCTCCACCTTGCATTTATACGCTGTCAGCTGGATGCGATCCTTTAGATCCCTGTACGTCTAGATAAACAGCAAAACCAGTGCCCAGCTGAGTAAAGAGGACACTTCCACAGTTAGATAGTGCCCTGTAGATCAGCAGGGCAACCCTTCAATCCCTCCCTCAGATTCCCACCACAGCACAAACACTAGGAGCCACTCTCCTGGCTCGCTTGGCTTCCACTGGGAACCATATCACTGCTCCCAGGCCATAAGGATAAGCAGACCCCATGAGGCATAATGCAGCAGTGGCACATGTCAGAGCACAGGAAAGCTGGGGAGAAAAAGCAGGCGCTTGTCCCATCTCTTCACACACACAGCAGGGACCTACCTCAATGACAACATCATGGCACTTGTACTTGGTGGCGAGGTTCAACCGTGTCTCCACATCCTCCACCAGGCGCACGTACTCCTGCAGCACCTGCCAGGGAAGGAAGAGTGTTTCAGCTCCCTTCTGCAGGTACCTCCTGCCTCATTCTCTCACCCCAGTCACAAAACCTTTCAAGGTTGTTGGTCACACACACTTGACCCCTTTCATCCTAGGGCAACAAGAGACCAGGGCAAGATGGCTCAGGACCTCAGATGCAGTAAAGCTTTGCTCACAAAGCTCAGAGTCCTAAGCTACCTCACTCCTATGGATGGGTTAACCATTGCCAGCCAGATTAAGCATAAGAAAAGTTTATGTAGCAAACACAGGTGGCAATATACTGTGGGGAGAGAGCTCCTGGACAACTCTAGGCCCACTGTCCCTCTTGCAGTCAGACCTAGGACCCAGCCCTCATGACCACCCACACTTCCTGTTGACCCATGGGTCATTCAGCTGAGTGCGGCACCCAGCTGGCAGAGCCAGCAGCTCAGCAAGCTGTTCTCCCACTCCCAGCTAGGAAGCAGCTCACTTGGGGAATCATTCACACCCCAAATCCCAACAAAGAGCAGGAGGACACAGACAGAAGTTCCTTGCTCACCTGCACAGGAGCATTGTTCCTCTGCAAGATCTCCACCACCCGGTGGAAGCCAATAGGTGCCTTCTTCTTGGTGTAGCCCAGCCAGTTCTGAAACGAGAGCCAGATCTTGCATTAATCATAAAGGGCAATCCCTCCAGCCATTGCCAGAGGAGCAAAGAACAGGACTGCCACAGGTTGAAGTTGGAAGCAACAAAGTGTTTTTCCCCAGTGAAGGGTGAACCTTTGTCCAGCTGCCAGCAACATAGCCCACTAGCCAGCACATGCACCACTGGCAGAGCCTTTCACATAGTGGCTAGGTGCAGGTTGGCTGTGAACCCTTTGGTGACAGCGTATGAGGACAGCCCCCTCCTCTGACCCTGTTCCTGCAGCCAAGCCAGGCTCCACAGAGCTTGCAGGCAGGGAGAGGAGGAAAGTATTGTAACACCTTGCAGCAGGGGTGCTGGGCCCTGCTGAAAGAAAACCAGTCTGTCCGGTAACTCCAGAACAAGCCAGCTATCAGTAGTAGGTATCAGTCACCAGCCCCCAAGCAAGGCTTTCCGCAGCTCACCTTGGTGGTGAAGAGGGCATCCACATCATCCCAGGCTCGCAGCTTGGCACGGGCAGCCAGGGCAGTCAGCACATACTGCTTATCAGGAATCTGCAGGGCAGAAAGCTGCAGTCAGAGCAGTAGCACAGTTCAGAAGGCCTGTGTGGTTTGGGGAGGAATGGCACCTGTTCACAGCGCTGTCAGGGCCCACAACAACAGCCAGGGACGGGGGCAAGATGCTGCCTGAGGCCAGGACCAGTGCTTCAGAGCAGGAGGTGGGGATTTGCAAGTGCTGCTGCAGCCAGGCTGCACTGGGCCCTGCTCACTGGGACAGCAGAAACCTCTGCATGGTTCCCACCTGCCTTTCTGAGCCTCCAGAATGGCTCTGCTCAAGGAGAATGCAGTGTCCCCCTTCCTGTCTCAGTGCAAACTCCTCCTACCCAGCCCCCTCGCTAAACACAATTTGGCTGCCCACATTTTCAGCTGGTGCTGCCACAATAGCAGGAGACTCACGTACTTTAAATGTTTTCTTCAGGTTGGTCGGGCTGCTGAACGTTCCCTAGAGAGAGCAGACAAGTCAGTGCAAGCTCAGCAGGGGAGGCCACGGGAGAGGTTCAGACACCTGTTGTAAGGCATTTGCCTCACACGGGGTAAATCTCCCCAAGTCTTTACTGCTTTGTGCTCATGTCAGTGCTGCAGGAGAAAACAGCTAGCAGAAGAGAGCAACTACCCCATGCCATTCATTTGGTTTCCCCTGCATCCTCAAGCTGGTGCACCTCCAACACTTCCAAGACCAGTATCAAACACCTCAGCCTCATGGGATTAAGGGCCAATTCTGGCCCCTTGGAGCCAGAAGTAAAAAGGAGTGGTTTCTAGGAGGCAGCTCCCTGCAGGCTCTCCCAGGTTGAATGTCCCATCTTAGAGCACAAAAGAAAACTCTAAACTGGTCCCAGGGCAAGGAGAGATGGGTTCCTCTAGATCTCTCTGAGGGATGAAATATGACTTCCCTCCCCTTCTTTCCTTAACATGCCCCAGCTTAACCACCCCACATATTGAGGGCTACAGGGATGAGATGTAACCCTTCTCTTCTCCCACATCATCCTCACCTCAGCCTCTGTGTAGTGGTAGAAACAGGAATAGAAGAGGGTGGTCACTAGTGGCATGTTGAGAATTGAAGCCTTGCGAGGATATTTCCGAAATATCTCTGACTGCCCAGCTGTCTCCAAGTGCCGGTCATTGGCCTGAGGAAACAAGATGAAGGAGAGTGTAAACATGAGCCAGGACAACTGCCTGACCTAGCTGCAGGGTAGAGACCTGGGAAGAGTGTTGTGATAGCAATGCACAAGCACAGCCTCAACATGCCATGAAGTCTCAGATCTGGTATTTCACACGTGCACCTGGCACAGCAGCTGGGACAGCAGTTAAACAACACTAGCCAGGGCAGGCTGGTCAGATCCAAAGCAGTTTAAGACAGGGACAGATAGAGATCTCACAGCTAGTCCCAGTTACCTCCTGACCAGGAGGGAAGATTTCATACCTCAATGATGATCTGTCGCTCCAGCAGGGTATAATGGTCTTGGATGTGGGAGGTATCCTCAGCTGAAAATGGCAGCCTGGCCAGACATGGAGGAAGGAGATGCTGTCAGGAGCTCTTAACACAGTACACATAGAAGGATGCTCTTCTCTACCAAAAATGTTCCCCACATACACGGATGAGGGGAACACCTCCCACTCTCCCCAGCCCAAGACAGGGGAGGCACACTTTCACCCCTCACAACCTGAAGGGTCAATGATCAGAAGGTCCCTGAAGCATGTCCACCCACAAGTAAGCACAAAAGATGCTGGACTAGTGATCACAAATTCTTTCTCTCTGGTCTACATTGTGTCCACAACATGCCACTCCCACTGAAGCAAAACTAACACCGGCCCTTGAACTACAGAAGCTGTGGCACTGGGACAGAGGTCTAATTTTATTACCACCTTCTGTAAAGCACCCACATCCCTCCCACCCTCTTGCATTTTTTCTTACCCAATGCACACTTTCAGAAATTCCCTCCTTTTTTCTACATCCTGGATGTTCAAATGCTCCCGGTACTGGGACAGCTGGAGGGAGAGGGAAAAGCAGCACAGGCTGTTCTCATGGATTTGGGAAATCATGACTCCAGAGGGTAAAATGGGAATGCAAAGCTCTCACTTGACTACCAGACACCCTGCAGCCAGCCTCCCCCTGCCCACTGCACTCCCTCTTCACAGAGGAAAGGGAGCTTCGGCTCCTGGGAATACTCACAGCAACTTCCTCAGTCCTGTCTAGGAACCTGCAAAAGGGAATGAGCAAGCATTAACTTGGAGGCAGGTTCCTAGCAGCATGCTCAACCACAAGGCTGGGCAAGAGCCTCACCTGAGTAGATCCAGAAGCAACTTCTGCTCACCAGTCTCTTTGAGGAAATGGATCAGATGACACAAGGCCACCTGCCGCACCTCCAGCTCCCGAAACAAGATCTCTACAGGAGAGAGAGATATTCACAGGTGGGTAAAGCAAGTTAGCACTACCAAGCCAGAGGGGGCCAAGCATGATGCATGGAGTTGCAAGCCATAGGCGGGATTCAACATCCTTATCCCACCTCAAAGCACAGCCTTGGAGGCTAGAGCACAGGAGAAGAGCCTGTTGACTAGGCTGCCAGCTGAATTCATGGCAGTGTGCTACCCCTGCAGATTCATTTTCATTCATCTCATCACCACTACCACCTACCACTGCTTAAAGCTTCTCTGTGGGGCCTTTGTGACCATCACCATCCCCTCACCCACGTTACACTTGCTGCAAAAATATTTCATGCTCTGTAAAGCAGCAATAGTCCAGATGCCGTCTCTTCATGACTTGTACGCAGTGAAAGAACGAGCCCTTCTGCTCTTAACTGAAACAGACTATAGAAACCCTGGCCCCAGTCACACTTACCTCTCCTTAGCGTCCGTTTCAGGAATATCAGGACCTGTGAGCACAGAGAGGCAGCTCTCAGCTGAACAGATCAGTCTTCACCAGAATTAAGACAGACAGACAGCAAACTGGTCAAGGCCTGGGGAAGCTTTTGCAAAGGGCCTCTGAAGACACAGCTCTTACATCACTGAACTAAATTCTACTACAGGACAAGCAGTGAGCCAGGGCCACAGCTGCCTGGATGCCTGCCTAAGCTGCTACTCTGGAGCTTAGATATGTGAGACTAAGACTTACAAAGAAAAACCTTTCCATGAGAGATCCAAGGTCTTAAAAGACCTGGATGAGAGAAGCTCTGACACAGTCCCATTTGCTGCCTGATGTTTTGGAAGCCAGATAAACCGGAGAGGTCCCTCAAATCTTTTGTGCTGCAATAAGTAGATTAAAATGTGGCCTTCAGGAAGTTGTTGCAAAGATCTGTAAGGCTAAAGGATCAAGTTCCTTATTATTGACCTGACATGAATTCTGGTGAATGGCAGGAAAGCCATCAGGAATATGGAACTTCCCAATCTTAAGCTTTGACATTTTTCAGTAACTTCTTGGTTTTAAGTAAAGAACAACCCCCCATCTTGCAAGATTACGTGTCCAATTAACTGCATTCACACAAGCATGCTCTGTGGGGTCACCCAGGAATTCCCAGCCCTATATGGCCCTAGCAGTACTCACAGCTGTAATGACATTCCCATCATGCCCTGCCACAGCTTCATCCAAGAGCACCAGCTTGTCCTGCAGGGAGCGAAATCTCTCTAGAGAGCAGACCTGGACATAGAAGAGGTATAAGTAGCATACAGGACATCAGACAATCCCCAGGCTGAACCAACCCGCAAGGTACTACTTATTCTTCCCCCCATGAACCTATTAGTGACAAGAATAACTGCCCTCCCAACCAGCGGAGAACTTCTCATTTAGCTGAAACCACATGCTGCATGATCCCTGGGAATTTGTCCAGAGGGGTTGCTGAGTTAGCCCTCGTTACTGCCCAGGCTGGGACAGCAGACATTGTACATTCAGCACAAACACCCTTGTAACAGAGCAAAACTTCCCTGCACACCACAAACCACCAGCCCTGACAGGAGGAAAGAACTCTGCAGGGCCCTTTCCACAGAGGAGATCAGAAAAATAGAGTTGTAAGGCTCTTCCTCCCTTCCTCTTACCCTGTAATCACGGCCTCTCAACCTCTAGTTCACCTCAGCTTTTGAGGAGACACATGTAGAGTTAAACCACAAACTCCCTGTGTGCTCACTGCAAACTAAGGCAGCTGAGACTAAGATTCCAGCTCCCTTGGAACAGCCAGGAGCACGGCGAAGTGTAAAGCAGTTTAGGACCACCCACTCTCCTTCTCTTGCAAGCAGGTGAGAGTGAAAGCTCTTACCTTGCCCCTCTGCATTCGCCTGACTGTATCTTTGGGACTCCAATCACTGCTGTAATCCTGCCACAAGAAAAATAAAGAGCTCTTGAGCCTCAAGAGGCCAGATCACACCAATAGTCCCCAAGCTGCTTTCCACTTGTGCTAGATCAGTGACAGCCCAAGTGTAGCTTCTCAGACTTATCATTCAGCTATTGCAAGGGGGCTGTTAGGAGGATGTGTCCCTACAATGTTCAGGTGCAGATGCTGGGCCCTTAGACTCTGCATGCTGGTGGGGAGAAAAGCTAGAGGCTCAGATATTAACACAGAGTCTTTCTATTGCCCCAGTAAGGTCCACCATTGTATCTTTTATAAGTGCATCTCAACAGGTTGTCCTCCATGCAAATTAAAGCTTTCAGAAGGACAAACAAAATACATGCAAAACTGAC